TTTAATAAGAAATTAGCTTGCTATGATTCCTAATAAGTCGATCCCTTTGTTAGCAGGTTAAGCCCAATCTCCAGGGGGCTAGGCGGATGTTTACACACATCTGCTCAGATCCTGCTAAGTTGACCAGCCTTTGGAAAGTGCGAATATTTATCAGGTCAACTGTGAAGTGAAAGTACGGTCATGTCTCTGCTTATCGCTTGACGCAGATAGTCGGGCAGGGTTGAAGGAAACATCCTTTTAGAGAATGATAAGAAAGAATGACTAAATGTATATGTGATTGAGTGGAATGTATGTATTAGAAAAAAAGCCCCTAAACTAAAGTGAAACAGCTACGCCTTTTGCTTGGCTGCTGGGATGTAAACAAACTCAGGATACCTGGCGAAGCTTTCCGCAGGTGAACATATTTCTTTTCGTAAATCATGAAATAAAATTGATTAAAAAATTTTAACAAACCCTAAACAAGGCGAAGTGGTTGACACTGATAAGGTGGACAATGAGGCCTCAAGAGACGCAAATTATGGCTCTGTCCATAAGAGGTCCTTTGCCTAGGCTGCTGCGACGGATCTCAATATGGGTGTTATTGATTCAAGATTCGAAGGATCTCTTGGCTAGAAACACTTAGTTGCTTTGAAAGCATCTTTGTTGAACGCCGTGGAGCCGCTAGATGGCGGTATAGCTGACATAGGGTTTGTTGGTAATGGTCGCCTTGAGAATGGTTACGTTACCATTAAATGTAAAAACCAAAAGACACTACGAAATGGAGGGTCACTAATGTCAGCAAGTTTGGCGATACAAGCAGTGTTGGCATCATGCTCACAGTGTGTTGCCCTAAAGAAGACGCTGAGGCGATTAAGACCGGAAAAGGCACGCTCAACTGTGGTCTAGATCAAGCCAAAGCTGTTCTTTCTACAGACAACTGAAAAAATAAGGACATGCTTAATGGTAAGGAAGGGGATGTACTGCATCCAAATCCCTAATTTATGCTTATCAGACTTTACTACAGTAAGAGTAGGGAGCGATGCAAACACCCTAATCGTGGCGTCTGCCACACGACTCAACTGAACTACCTCCTAGTCAGGAGGTGATCAGACTGATTGGGTATTATTGGAAGAAAAAGCTACAAATCGTCATGAAATGTGATGCGAACGCACACTACGTTCGAGTGTGAAGCACCTCCTAAGTAAGTCGGTTACAAAACTTGGTCACCAAAGACCCAGACCCAGAATGGTACTATAACGGAAAACATAGTAGTCACCAAGTACTCTTATGGAAACTCATTTTCCAGGAAGTTTTAAATATGATGATTTCTCCCAAAAAGGGAATGAACAGTGAGGAAAGATTTGAAGCAGAAAGGAAAGGCATATTTACAGCGCTCCTGCGGTGGGTATTGACCTACTCGCGGAGTTGTAAAAGACGTCACTGGAGACAGGGTATGTCCCTAAAGCTTGAAGAGAGTCACGTGTGACTTTTTTACTCAAGCCTGGAAAGAAGAATTACGTAGAAGTAAAGTCATTCAGACCAGTCAGCCTTACCTCGTTCATGCTTAAAGCTATGGAAAAGGTAATAGTGGACTATCTAGAATTCACTACGCTACTGAAACATCCTTAAAGCAGAGGTCCACATGCCTATAGGGCGAAGAGATTCATAGAGTCTGCCCTGCACGACGTCGTGAAGGCAGCTGAGAGAGAGCTAACTTCAGTAGGCATATCGATGGCTATCATGATGAATATCAAAGGTGCCTTTGACAAAGTAAGCTTTAATAAATTAAAATCTGTTCTTCTCTGACCGAGAAATCTGTTCACTTATTACTGGATGGATTGATTTCATGTTAAGGCAAAAAACAATAATCTACAAAATGGAAATAAACTGCTTGCAATAGAAAGAGATGTGGTTAGCGAACGGAAGCTACTTTAGCTGTAACTCAATAACGAGATCCTAGAATCCGAATTATAAAAAAAAGACCCAAGTCGTTTCATGGTCTGTTTCGATCAATTCTTCACTTCAGTGGGCTATTTGTTGGACTGTGCGTTGTCCCAACGTCCCACAACATTTATATATATATATTGTAACCCATTAAAGTATCTTTATATGATGGTTAGGCCCCGCTGGCTCTGTTAAGGAGCTGACAGGCTTTTTTGCACAAAATGTCCAGTTCTTTATTCCACCATGGAATGTTCCAAGTCCACAGCTACTTTTAAAAGCTTTGTAATAATATTTTCATGTTTGTTTACTTCAAGGTTTAGTTCCTGACAATTAGTTAATTTTAGATTTATTACCTTTATTTACCACCATTAAATTATTTGCAGTGATATAATCATAATGACTCGCCTCGTATATTAGTGTCCGTGCTTACTCATACCCATGGATCTTGTTAGTTGGATTCGTGTTCTTAATGAACGAAGTATGGTCATGCGTAATATAGTATCTGTATACGTTAAGCCTATGCCATACCAAGAACATGGTGTAAAGAGTGTCTTAACTACGACAGATCAAAATTAACATCATTACTTTATTTAATCCATTAAGTACCAGGCAATTTCAGACTTGAAATTTTATGGTAAATTTCTATAGTAAATAATAAAATAAAACAAGTTGAAGTAAATAAGAAAAGTTTAATATTTATTTGAAAGATTACTCTCACTTTCTTTTTCCCTAAAAAATACAAAATATTCTTTGAATATTAAAAAGAATTCAAAATTAGCCGGTGGTCCAAAATGGGTTAATGTAAACAATAGAGTAATTTTAATTTATATTTAAAAAATATAAGAATGTACGAACGCATTTGACATAGGATGGCATTAATTATACTTTACCCTTAGAATTTTAATGCATTAGTAGTAACATACAAAAGTGCAATATTGATAGAAGACTAAGAATATTTTTATTAAAATATTTATTTTCAACTGAAACTGTAATGCAATAATTATATTAAGAAAGAAAACAATAATCAAGAAAATATAATAAAAACATTATCATTTATATACTGTTGATGTTATTTGATGTTATATACCATATATAAAATGAGTAATTTCCTTACCTCTCCTCTAACAATGCATATTCCAAAACTTTTGTACCCTGTTTTGTTCAATGTAACAATGCGAAATTGATCTGTAATTATTATTATATACATTACTTATTATTAACATTATAACAGATTTTTATATATGCATAATTTTTTATAATAAAATTGTAAAAATTGTAATTCAGACATTTCAGTCTAGACTTTCCTTTCTTTGTTTTGATACTGCTAGTTACCGATTATTTTATTGCTACAAAACTAGTCAAGTACCATATAACCTTAATGTGTTTCATAACTATATCTAATATTAGCCTGATATGCAAACTTATTAACTTCACGTAGAGAATGGCCTTCTGTTGCGAAAGCTTATATTTTTTCAACTTAATGTGCACATATACATACTAAGTTAGCTGTTATAGAAACGATATATAGCCTTCTCTTTTCAACTTACGTAGGACATTATGACCCATTGTGACAGCACTACTCAAAGCCGGACCTTAAACGTTTGTTAATTATGGCACCATATGAGCGAGATATTAGCACTGCACTGTTCTGTGCGAATACTAAAGACGTAACTACGTAAGAAATTTGATCTGCTTTAAATTAGAGTGGGCAACTGATGGAGATGCATTCCACTATTTCTTCATTTCCACAACTTTTACCATATTTATAAGACGAAACTTTTAATGGCTAATCACAATTAGCAGATTACTGTCACCAGTTGGTTATAGTTGGAGTAGCGCATTTATCATTATCATTTATATGATACGAGAGTCACTATTTATATTTTAAATTTTGGCAACTCTCGTTGCTGTCAGGTCTCATCTGACGTTTTCATACGAAAGTTTGACATTATTAAACATAATATACCATAGGCTTTTTGTCAAGAGAACGTTATTTGTGGTACTCGTATTTACAGTGATTTGTAAATTGAGCGTTCGCAAAAAAATTGAAATAAATCTAGAAAATTTTCGTGCTATGATTTATTACGACTTTCGACGTGGATTATCAAGACAAGAGTGTATTGATCAACTTCTACATTTAGCAATGAAGCTCCATACTTTGCCACTGTGCAACGCTGGTACAATGATTTTAATCGTGG